TCTGTCTATGTGACTGATCAATGCCAGAAGAACGATCTATAGATTCTATAGTCCAGTGTACAATTGAAATCCCCACCAATTACATAAAACCCAGAAAGGCTGGATAAAGTCAGAAAGAGGTTATTATATAATTTGGGGATGTCCTCGTTGGGGCCATAAACATTGACAAGAATCAGTGATTTAGATAATAAAGTCCCTTGAACAATTAAATATCTACCTGATGGATCTTGTATTGTCTTAGCTACTTGAAATGGAATTGATTTATGGATCATTGTAATAACCCCTCATGCTTGAGAACTAAATGAAGCTGAAAACACTTGACCAGGCCATCTATTACGTATTCTACATATGTCTTTAGACATTAAATGTGTTTCCTGGAGAAAAACAATTTTAGACTGTAGCTGCTTTATCCTAGTCATTACTTGTTTAATTTTAGTAAAAGTATGCAGCACCCTACAGTTCCAAGAAATACACTTAACCCCAATAATCCCTGCCATATCCTATAGTACTAGATAATTTAATACTCTCCACCTGTACCTTGTGACCATAAAAAGTAAAACTAGAAAACAACATAATTAGAAACACTAACCAATAGAAACATTTAAACACTACAACTGTGAATTGCCGAGAACCACCAGCAAATGTACACACTACTTTACTTCTAACTTCCCCCATCTAAATGATACAATGAATTGCATCCCACCTGTGCTCCGCTGAAATGACTTTGTCCCCTTAGAAGGAGTATGTCCTATTAATAATCGTCCGTTATTCACATATTTCTGAGTGTAAACAATTCGTTAATATAATGTCTCAAAATTACATATTCGTTAGAAAGGCGTCAACTTCGGATGAAGTTTGAAAGACACGAGATTGGCCATTGACCGTCAACCGAAGGCGCGCTGGAAAGATGAATCCATACTGTAGGCCCTTAGCTCGCAGCTTCCTCTTGACTTCGTCGAATTGTCTCCGTTGCTTGTTTACTTCAGCAGAAAGGTCTGGGAAAAACATGACTCGGTGATTTTGGAACAGCACGTCCTTCTTCACTCTGGCCGCATTCATTATACGCTCTTTGTCTCTGTAATCCAGGAACTTCGCGATCATCACTCTCGGTGTTGAATTCCTGTCCGTATCAGATCTTCGCATACTTCCAATCCTGTGTGCCCTCTAGGCCAGGGGTTTTCGTAGTGGCTCCATGTCTAGCGCCTCAGGTAACCAGCTTTCTAAGAATGCACAATGCCCTCGGATTTTTCTGGTAAACCTACGAGTCTCAGGTTGGAGCGTCGACTGCGATTCTCAAGGTCATCTATTTTCCAGGTAAGTGCTGCAACTTTCTTCTCGAGAGCGCTGGTCGTCGATTGAAGTGTAGTAATCGAGTCTTCGGTCTGTGAAATGCGTTCCTCCGTCTGCGTCAATCTTCCAAAACACTCCGCAACTTGATTTTTAACATCTTGTACAGCTAAAAGGACGGTTTCAAATTGAGAAGTCATGTCAGCTCTCACTGAATGTATTGCTTGGAGAATATCACTTGTGTCAGCGTGAAAGCCGCTAGCTTGATCTCCATAGCTCGGTGACGAGTTTTCTTCGCCATGTGCAACACGCGACCCTTCGCGATTCAGACACTTTGACCTGAGCATGTTTTGCTTAAGTGTTTTTTTTTTTTTTTTCTAATGTGACCTTT